GACTTATCTTCACATAGATGGAACTGGTAAAAGAAAGGAGCCAGGGGCTCCTCCCAAGCCCATGTGACCCCCCAGGAACAGATCCTCAAACGACCTTAAGAGTAAAAATAAATTGGTTTATTTGGGCCAACTGTATGGTCTAAACACCCAAAAGGAAAGTATAACCAAAGATTAATGGGGTCAATATAATTTTTAAGAGTCCATATGTATAGCTAAAGGCTATATAACAAGAAATAATGCCTTCCTTTGAGTTGTTGGCCAGGGTGGCCCAAGAGACTCCCAGACAGAAACTCAGCATAGAAGTGGGAAATTGAACATCAGACCGCAATCTTATCTAAAGGAATGTTGACAACTGATTGCTGCTAGATGAAGAGCTGATCTTCTTAAAACAAGGAACTCTAGGTAGGCTGACTAGACTCAGTGGATGGACTTGCACTGGGCATGGCTGGGGGCACTGACAACACAGTGGGGCAGTTAACAGGGATGATGGTGTCTATGGGCTCCAGTGTGTGTGGGGGGAGACTATGGGAAGGTGCCATTTGGGATATGGGTATAAAGGTGAATATTAATAAGATTGTTTGGGGTGTTGTGTATGAAATACAAAAAAACTCAATAGAAGTATTTTTTAAAAAAGAAAATAAAGGAAAACTGCTGTAGGTGAAAGGAGACAGTAAGATAGAGAAGGGATGCATTTGATGAGGCTGACGTAGACAGGGAACTAAGGAACTTGTAGATAAATGAGTATAAATACTATAAATGGATGAGAGAGAGAGAGGGAGAGAGAGGGAGAGAGAGAGGGAGGGAGAGGGAGAGAGAGGGAGAGAGAGAGAGAGAGAGAGAGAGAGAGAGAGAGAGAGAGAGAGAGAGAGAGAGAGAGAGAGAGAGAGAGAGAGAGAGAGAGAGAGAGAGAGAGAGAGAGAGAGAGAGAGAGAGAGAGAGAGAGAGAGAGAGAGAGAGAGAGAGAGAGAGAGAGAGAGAGAGAGAGAGAGAGGGAGAGAGGGAGAGAGAGGGAGAGAGAGAGAGAGAGAGAGACTCCATCTGAAAATGGAGCACACATTGTGATTGGGTGCTGCTGCTGCTGTTTGTGTCTATGTCTGTGTGTCTGTGTGGCATGACCCCTCTTCTCCTTAAGTGAGGCTGTGTGCACTGGCTTCCTTTCTAAAGACAATGGGATGGAGAAGACAGGGACTTTACCGCAGATTTAAATGCCTCTTCAGTCAGGTGATCAAGCTCAAATGAAAAGTTGGGCTGGGTGGGGAGATGACTCGGCAGTTACAGTGCTTGCCACAAAACTAGAACAGAAGTTCTGATCCCCAGAAACCACGTAAATGCTGTGTGAGCTTTGCAGTCTGCCTGAAATTCCAGCATTGGAAGGTGGGAGATCAGGGATCCCCAAAGCAAACCCAGGAGTAAGACTAACCACATCGGCAAGCTCTGGGTTTGGTTAAGAGACCCAACCTCAATGGATAAAGTGGAAGGATTATTGAGGAAGATTCCTGACATCAACCTCCTCCACATGCATGTGTATACATGTGCATACACACCAGCACATGCATATGCCCACACATATGTATATATGTGCACACACACATGCACATTACACACACACAAATGGGGAAGAGGTGCTGCTCCATGCACCTGATGAAATGTGCTGAGAATGGTCTTCTGCCTCTGCGGTCTTTCTTGGAAGAATCTGTAACCCTAGGCTAATCAGGAGAAAAAAAATCAGACAAAACCAGATTATGGGACATTTTACAAAATATCTGAGAAGCTGTCATGGTTTAGAGGAAGGGAAGACATGGCAACTAAAACCATATTTGATCCTAGATGAGATCCTGGGAAAAAAAGGATGCTAGGCAAAAAACAAGGAAATGCGTAGATGACAGACTTTAATAGCAATGTGTCACAAATGGCTCATTACTGCGGCAAATGAATCATATTAAGGTAATCTGTCAGCAATAGGGGAAGCTGGGCTCTGAGTGTGTGGAGACCCTCTGTATCACTGCTGCAACTTTTCTATAGATGTAAAAATATTCTAAAAGAAAAAGATCATTAAAAACAAATGAGGCAGGGGCCAGTGGGGTGGCTCAGTGGGTAGAGGCAGTTGCCACCAAGTATGACGATCTGAGTCCAATTCCTGGAACCCACATGATGGAAGGAGAGAACTCACTCCCTTAGGTTGTCCTCTGACTCCACATGTATGTTGTGGCATGTACAACACACATATACACACAAAATAAACAATACAAAATAAATAAAGGAGGCAGCTGGGCATGGTAGCATATA